AAGTGGCTCATTAAATGCCACAGTTCACACCTAGCTCAGTTCTTCCCTGGTTCCCCCACTTTCCAAATCCCAGTCATGTCACTTACAGAGAATCCAAAGCTTAATCCGAAGCCTGATCCTGCACAGGACAGCTCCTGGTAATTATCTGAGCTGTGGAAACGGGGCATAATTTCTAAAGAGAAAACAAGGACATCGGCTCTGACCATCCTAGAGCTCTGGTCGGGGCAATGGGACAGAATATTGAATTCACAGTAGACCTGGAAACCCGGGACTCGTGTCCGCACTGCAGAAGAGATAACAGTGCTCCATTTCCTTTCAGCAAGTTTTGCGCTTGGGCTTTCCTGTTCTGGGGATTCTGAGAAATAAGCCTCACACTGACTCACTGAGGCACCATTTCTTCCTCTGCTGTCAGTTACGAGCTCTGGATGTGTACTGAGTGAGGGCTCAGAGCTGACTCCCTCTTCTGGGAGTTGTGCTGACTCTCCCAGGAACATCCCTAGTGCTCCACCACCAAGTGCAAGTCCAGATATAGTTCCCTGTGCTGGGGCTGCCCTTTGAGAGGGGAGGCAGAGGGCCCGAGAGCCTCCTTGGCTCCCAAGTCACACTGTTGACCCTGCAGCAAAGCAAAACCAAGAATTCTGGGTGCGGTGCAATCAGCCAGCACACAGCCCGTGGCTGTTTGTCTGCTGGGAGGCTGCCCTGCATGCAGTGGGCCCCGGGCACTTGCCTTGGCATAAGAAGAATTTGGATTCTCCAACGCTGATTTCCCCCTGGCTGGGAACAATATCCACCTGCAGAGAAACTGAAAAAGACGAAGTCCAGTTTAAACACACATTCACATTCCTAAGAATAAAACCGAGAGCTTTCATTCAAAACTGGCGTGTCCCCACTCATGTTTAGAGCAGGGGAAGGTGGTTGTTTGGGTTTTAAGAACTGGTCACCATCATAGATTCCATGGGTCCTCATGTCGATTCCAGGAGTGTACATGGTCAGACCACTCGCTGTGGCACTGCTGCCTCTGCCTCCTAGTGCCGGTGCCCGGGGAGGGCTGGGATGACCTCCGCACTAAGTGTTTCGGGCCCCTGAGAAGGCTGCAGTCCTACTCCAACCAGCAGCACTTCTGAGAGTCATGGACACAGCCGCTCGACAGCTACTTTTGGGAACCAGGGCTGTGTGAGAGGGAAGCCTGCTGCTCCAGAACTCGGCACAGGGGTCTCCTGCCAACGTGTCATGGGCCATGCCTAACGACTATGGAGAAGGACCCCACGGGTCCAGATGGATTTGCCAATGCTCACCTTTCTCATGACTCTAGGACCAGTGCATCGCTTTCCATAACGGGAGCCAGCATCAAACATCCCACCCCAATGAGGCAGACCCCCTTCGGCAATGCTGGCGCCGGGCCCTGGGAAGTTCCCAGAGTACCTTTACTGCTTGGCCTGAATTTTTATTAGCATAGCCACGTGCTCTGTCATTGCACTCCACCGAGAAGACAAAATACATTGCACTGGATCTCAGATTCCTGTACTCATTCAGCTCCTTGTTTATCTGTTCAGGACAGATAACTATATCCATGAAAATACAGTTTTAGGGCAGAAAATAAATGTTTTTGTTCATTTGGGTTCAGCTTCCTTCTGCCTCCTTTCCTCTTAGTAAATCTGAAGGCCCCACAGACGTTTGGTTCCACGCATGTAGCTTCTTAAAGCCCGTGCGAATGAGGGGGTTGGACGAAACAGGCCGGGTATTGAAGACTCTGTAAGCCCTTCCTTAGAACAGCCATTTTCCCTGCACAGCGGAGGTGGGAATGCTGGTTGCCATGGTGAGGACTTGCAGGCAGAGCTGCTGCAGGTCTCCGTCTGCCCGCATTTGATGAAGGGACCACAGTTGTGCTCAGCAGAATGGAGGAATCAAAGGGCCTGAGTGGGGGCTGAGATGGGGGGCATCTCAACTATTAGGGGCAAGGCTTTCTTAACCTCCTACCAACAGACAAAGCAGACCATGGCAAAACCCATCAGGGGCAGCAGAGAAGGATGGGTTGGAGGAGACAGAGAGCGAAAAGCGAAGGAGCCAGGGTAAGGGGAGGAGTCAGGCACGGGGTCCAGCTGGGAGAGGATGCTGAACACTCCACTGTGAGGATAAGAGGCGGGGGCTCAAAGACTACAAACACTGGTTTGGGAGAAATATGACAGCGATGGAGGGGCAGCTGGCCTCTCCCTCACTTGGTTAGCTGCTGATTACCCATTTGGGGCTCAGGACTGAATTCTTCCCGAGAGAATGCAGTCTTCGCCTCCCTTCCCTGCATGCTGCCCACAGCACACAGGGGTGTAATGGAACAGTGTCAGATGAGGGACACTGCAGCGACGGCACCAGTGTGACTGGCTGGGCTGCTTCTGCCACCACGCTTCTCCCTGTGAAGTCAGGTGCCACTCAATTCTACACTGAGGGAGAGGGAGCTGGAAGGAGTCTCAACCATCACCATGTCCTGCCTTCTCATTTTCTGGATGAGAAAGGCGAGGTAGAGTGACTTCCTGAAGGTCACTTCTAGGTAGGGCCAGGGTGGCCCCAGAGCCCAGGCCATGCGGCTTCCAGCTAAGTGTTCTTCCTACTATGCAATGCTGCCTCTGCAAGTAGAGAGTAAACTGTTTCCATTCCAGTTAACAAGCAACCTGGTTCTCCAACTCACCACGTCCCAATAGACCAGATCGAGTCCAGAACTGATAGGGCCCACAGTGCTTTGGGGAGGACGTGGTCTTACAGAGCGGGCGACAGCACAGTGCCATCCACCTTAAGGGCAAGCAGGACCTTTTCTATGCCCTCTGCGGCTCAAATTCCAAGGTACAAGGGACCCATGAAGCCCAGACGCTGTGCGCAGGCCATCCGCCACCTGGGTGCTGGCCCTTCCTGGAGCCCCGGGGCACTTGCTAAGGCCTTGGAGGCTGCTTCTGCCCGCAGAGTTCACAGCCCACATGCCGAGCACCAGCAGCCAGCTCCCACATCTGGATCCCGTTACTCTCACAGAACCTTTGCTGCTCTGAGAAGGATATTTTTACGCCAAGTGAAAAAACAGCCTTCATTTTCTCAGCTCTTTCCAAACAGAACATGACTCTCAAGGGGCCGGAGAACATGGCAAGGCTGAAGGGTTTCTTACTCAAATGTGGCTGGTGTCTACCTCTGAGCCGTGATGGGAAATGAGAAATAAGAATTTCAAAGGAATTCCTACTTCAGCAGATCTCATGCACACATTTATCGTCACAGTCATTTTTAAAGGAGAGAGATCCACTTAGAGTCCTGACCCTTTGCGCTCATGGAAAAGGCGGTGAGATTCCCCGTTCCAAGCAGTGCCAGCTGGGCCAGAGGAAGCCCGGACTCTGGCCACCAGCGCATGCCGGTTCTTCTTTCCCAGATTCCACCGCGAACGGTTAGGTTTAACGATGGTAAGTGGAACTCCTGCTCCAACCTGCAAACTCCCCTCCATTTCCTTTCTTCTTCTATTAGTTCATTCATTGTTTCCAATAAAAAATCTTAACTTGTGCCTTTCTCTAGTTGCATATATGAATGAAGTTTCCTAACCAGGCGTAACTCTTACGTTAAAGAAACTTATGAAAACATTTCTCCCAGAAAAAGATCTCCTCTCCTACTTTGCATTAACATTGCATGTTGTCCACTCCATCTTGGATGCATCCAAAGATACATTTGATAAACCTTGGTGTTGGGCCCATCTTCCTGCAGCTGCTTCACACTCTCTGGTTTACCAAAGACCCTTCCTTATTTAATCTGATGCACACAATAGTACTGAGGTATAAAAAGACTGATATTGTTTCCTTTCTACAGAAGAGGAAATTAAAGCTCAGAGAAATGAAATGACTTGTCCAGGGTAACTCCGCTAATGAGTAATAAAGTCAAGAGTGAAAGTCATTTAATTCTAAGGCTAGCTCTCCCCCAACCTGCACAGCTATTGCTAACCTTCTGTTGGCTGCCCAATAGGCTCCTTTTCTATTAGTTACTATTTTCTCTCTTCCCAAATTATGGGCTAGAAAGAGCAGAGTGCCCAGAAATCTTACAATCAAGTTGCTGTCATCATTTCTACCATGGTTAACTGTAGCTAGCCTCCTTGCTCACCGTTAATCCTAGCATTATAACCTTCCTTTTACAGGTGGGAAGGGGGGTTCAGAGCCAGAATTAATTGTAACCAGGAGTCAAGAATCAAACCCAGGCTGAATGGAGAGGAAAGGCCCAGCCATTCTATCCCTGTGAACAGACAGGAAAAAGATTCCCTTGATGTTGACATGATCCCCCTTTCCTTGCTCATTTAGAAAGTAAAATAACCCTGTGGGAGATCTTTATGTTTTAAAAAGTATTTTCTGTTTAAATGTGTGTGTTTTTTAAATGATATTATATTCTGAAAGATATGCTGACTTGTTTATTAGGAAACAGCTTCAGGCGTGGATAGAAGTTTTCTTACTTCCAAACTCCGTAGTAGAAGCTAGCTATAGAGTTTTAGTTGCTAAAGAAAAGGGAGTTCGTGCTTCAGTTCATAAAAGATGCTAAGGCACTTAGCAGGATGAGTGCGAATCTTACAAAGGCAAAGTGACAGGAAAAAATCATTCTGATTTCAGAAAGGGGTTTGCAGATTTCACTGGAGCCAGCAACTTCTTGCGGCAGTTTATTGTACTGGTGTCCTTTTTTAGGTTCTAATGTGCTTGCGGGGGTGGGAACTGAGCGCAGAAAGTGAACCGAGGTCTCTGTCAGCCAATTGAAAAGACTTTCTGTTAAATGGCTACAAAAACACTGGTTGCTGAGGGAGACAGAGAGCAGCTGTGCCGCGGGCCCAGGGCAAGGCAGGCACACGTGAGGAAGAGGCCAGGCCATGATGCCAGAGACGGGCTAACTAGAGGATTATGCAGCAGATTCGGGGGGTGGGGGTGGGGGTATTCTAGAACCTATTTAGTAATAGCTAAGGGTTTCTGAAAAAGGCATCCAAGTATCGCTATACTTTCATTTTGTGAGCTATTATTCTAAAAGTGAGCCTTAAATATCACTTAACCACTTTAATGAAGTAAACTGAATGTTAAAGTCTCTTTCATTTGGGAAAGGCAGGTGTCTGAACCAGGAGGGTCATGACTGAGGCAGCCCTACTTGCCTGCAACAGTTTGCTCTCATTGGCAGCAAACTGCTCAAGGGAAAAAGGGCAACTTCACTGCTAAAGCAGCCAAACCCAATGAAAGCAAAACTAAAGCTGCCCAGGCAGTTCTGCAGGGTGATTAAGGCCAAAACTCTGGGCCAGACTGTGAGCTTGAATCTCAGCTCTGCCACTTACTAGCTGTGTGATCTTGGCCAAGTTATTTAATCTCTGGTGCTTCTGTTTTCTTATCTGCAAAATAGGGAAAACAGAGCCCATCTCATAGGGCTGTTGGAAAGATGAAGTGAATTAACATATGAGAAGCACTTAGAATAAGGTCTGGCACATAGTAAACATTTTACAGTTGTGTGTTCTTCTTTTTTAAACGATTTTTTTTAAAAAAATTGATTTTTAGAGTGAGGGGAAGAGAGAGGGAGAGAAAGAGAAACATTGATGTGAGAGAGAAATATCGCACAGTTGCCTCCTGAACTCACACGGACCAGGGATCGACCCTACCACCCAGGCATGTGTCCTGACCTGGAATCTAACCAGTGACCTCTCAGTGCATGGGATGATACCCAACCAACTGAACCACACCAGCCAGGCTGCATTATCGGTCTTAATAAACCTATATAAACAATCCTTCTCAAAGAAATTATATGGTTATTATTTTTGAGGGAAGCATG